GGGAAAATCTGTACCAGGCCAGTAGATCAGTACAAGGTGAATGCAGCTGGGCAACGACTGTCTTCATCAATTATTTATACCATCAACATCTAAGAGGATACTTAGCCTCCAATTTTCCTCAGCAGAGAGATCTTCCTCTTACCTACATGATCTTGGGTAAACTTATTTATTTATTTATTTATTCAAATACATATTACAGAGTCAAGTAGTTATGGCAAAAGGTGAAAGATTTTACCTGAACAAGTAGGTTCTTGTTTTACCCCTGTCAAAGGAACTTTTTTTATTTCATTTCATGCATCATTCATTCATGTGCTTTCCCACTCATTTAAGAAATGTTTACGGGGTGTCTACCATGTGCCAGGCCAAGCGGTAGGTTCTGGAGATGCCATGACCAATGATCCTCCTTCAAGGAGCTGAAATAAATGAAATAAATACTCTCACAAGGGTTTTGCAGATACTATGGGAACCCAGAAGAGGAGCACTGGGACAGAGACTGCTGTTGAAAACCAAAAGTGTTCTCATTGTAACAGAACTGTAGTTAGGCACATGGGTGCCTAGTCAGACTGCATTTCTCAGTCTCCCTTGCACCTGGGTGTAGCCATGTGACTAAATTTCTCGCCAATGGAATGTTAGAGGAAGTGATATGTGCCACCTCTGGTCAGGGTCTTAAGACCTCCTTCCTTGCCTGGAACCCAGCCATAGTGGCTACTCAGCTTCAGCCATGCAGATAATGACAACACCCTAGGGGAGCGGCCCTGGGGATGCAGAAGCAATGATTTGGAAGGAACCTAAGTCCCTGAATGACCAGGAAGAGCAAAGCTGCACCACTGATCTATACCTTCCACACTGTTAGAGGAGAGAGAAATGAACTTTTTGTTCATTAGGCTTTTGTATTACTGGGTGTACAGCAAGGTATCGGCACTAAGTCACTATCAGGTGTAACACTTTAGCTCCAATTAGTTCACACGATCGCTCTCCCTCAGCACTGGTGACTCAATGTATGACTGTAACAGACAAGAGGCCAGAAAGGTACAGTTGGAGTTGATGGAGGGGAGCAGGAATAAAGGAATAATGTCTGGGGGGCTCACACTGGGTTCTTGATGTATACCACCCTGTCCACTCAAGGGTTTGGCAATAAAATAGAATAATCTCAACAATGTCCTTTTCGATGCTCTCAAGGAAAGTTAAGCAAATGGGTAAACTATCGCCATTTTAAGCTTTGTTTCCATACATTTGGCCTTTGTTGCCTTCTATCTGCTTGCCAGCAGACAATGCCAAATGAACTTAGAGCAAACAAAATTATTTTCCTTCTTAAAAATATTTTTAATTATAGAGGTGACCCATGCTCATTGCGGAAAATGTGAGCAACATGGAAAACGCACAGACCGTATCTCCCCATTCTCAGGCCCATGCCCAGGGGAGCCTCAGTTAAACATTTAGTGTGTCCTCTCTCTTCCCTTTGTCCTTACCCTTGGGGGCAGTGCCATGGTGTGAGCTGAGGAGGAGATGAGACCAAGGAGGTGGCAGTTGTGGTTAGGAAATTGGTTATAATCAGGATTGAGCTACTAAGTAAATATGCTGAGGATAATGGGAGTCAGGTTTCTCATTGTTGGAGAAGGGAGTTACAAATAAGGTGATAAACTAGAGAGAAACCTGAGGTGTTGGGTTGGAATCGGAGGTATTAGTGTAAACTCATGATTTTCAAATATATATACATAGATATAGCAGTGTGTATGTACACTTGTATGCAAACATACACAAATTTCCTGCCTGCAAAAAGGGCTTAGAAGCAATGACATCACAAAAAGAATGAACAACCAAGCATCCAGATCTTGGTTTCTAAATTCCTTCTTCCATTAAAAGGAGAATTGGCTGATTCCAGGGATGGGGCTGGGAAAATTCAAGATGAGCCTGAAACATTTGTGCCTTTGTGACACAAAAAAGAATGTTCTCAAAGAATGATGGGGCCATGACAAAAGGGCAGAGGAGCCAGCTTGGAGGGACTCCCATGGGCCAAATCTGGAACAATTTGAGCATTAAATAACGACACGAATGATTTATATCCTGTTAAGTAAAATGGAAATTCATGAGTCTATGCTTACATAAATACAAGATGAATAAATAAATGGGGGAAAAGGGAAATCTCTTCACAGTAGAAAGCCAACCATTTGGTCACAGTCAGGATGGTGGCTGATTTGGGCAAGAGTCAACAATGGATGCTAACGAGTATTTCCTGACAAAATATTTATCGATTACAAAGGAAATATTAACTTATGGCAAAGAAAACTGGATGACACTACCTTGACTGAGTGGTCAAGGTTATCACCAGTGGTGGGACAAGTCATCCTCATGTATTTCCTGATGTGATGCGCTAACAGCCCAGCATCAGCTCTGTGGAGTCCCTTCCTAGGTCTGGACAGGAGCAGACAGTGGACAGGCCCGGGCTGAGGGACAGCCTACAGAATGAAAGGCTTCTATTCTTTTAAACTGTCAAGGTCATGAAGACAGGACAAGACTGAGGAAATGCTCCAGAAAAAAAGGAAAATAGAGAGACATGAGAACAAAATAAAACATGTGCTCCTGGATTGGATCTCAACCGGAAAAGAAAAAGACATTGTTAAGACAGCCGGTGGAGTATGGACGGGGTCTATGCACAGTATCAGTGCTGACTTCCTAGTCTGAATGGCTGCATATTGCTAGGGCTGGGGGTTCACAGACTCTGCAAGCCCTTTTTACAGACTGAGTCACAAACCCTTCACACGCAGGTCCACGAGCTAGGTAATAGGAAAAGATCCTGGAAGCCATGGATAAAAAATGAATAGGCTTTATTAAGAGCTAGGAGAAGCCACCCTAGTGGCCTCCCAGAGCGTCCCAAGAAGCACGGGGTATCGGAGCCATTCGTACTTTATACTTAGGTCCATAACCCTAAGGGCACCCACCTGGGTGCCCATACGCAATTGCAATAGATAGTAACCAAGGAACACCTGGGCGCACGTGGGTATTTACATCAAATGCTCGGCAGAGTTCTGAACATCTGAGGGGCCCTGACCATTTTCCTGTATTTTCCCTACAGGCTGTATTGAGGTTGTGTAAGAGGGTGACCTTGTTTAGGGAGAAATACCCACTGGAGTGCTTAGGGGTGATGGGACATCATGTTTGAAACTTAAATACTTTAAAGAATAGTTCAAATAGTTTGGAAAACGAATAACGAAAATGGGAATATTTGTAGAAAGAAAGTGATGGAGCAAACTTGAAAAAAAGTTAACAAGTAGAGAATTTCAGTGGAGGGGACACAAGCTCTTTGTTAGTACTCTTGCAACTTTTTCTGCAACTTTTATTTACTTCAAAATGAATTTTTAAAAAAGCTTCGTGTGTATCCAGATTTTTCTGTGTAAATATTTGCACACATGTGTATACACATATCCAGAAGCTCAGGCCCCAACACAGACTGATTAAACTAGAATTTTGGGACTGGTACCCGGCATGTGCATTAAAAACAACAACGACGATCCCCCGGATGGGTGCAGCCATATTTGAGAAGCAATGCTGTCCCTCAGCGTTCAGGAGGGTCGCCTGTGGGGCTTGTTAAGACGGCTGTGTGGCGCGGGCGTGCAGAGCGCGGGAGCAGGTGAGCAGCGGGCGGCGCCGGGCCTCGTGCGCCCACGGGACCGAGTGAAAGGCCGGGCCTGCCGCCC